GCTGCGCCGGGAAGGTGTGGTGGGTCGGGACCGGCTGGAGCGGAATGGAGGTGCGGGGCGAGCTGCGGGGCGACGTGCGCGACGAGGGCTCCGGGGGCGAGAAGGAGCGCGGCGAGAGGGCGCGCGGCGAGTAGGAGCGGGGCGAGTAGGAGCGTGGCGAGTTGGAGCGGGGCGAGTAGGAGCCGGGCGAGACGACGCCGGGCGTGAAGAAGCGGGCCGACAACGTGCGGGGCACCGCCCCCCCTCGAGGGCGGCCCCTTGCGACCTGCCTGCGGACAGCAATTCCTATCGGTACTCCACGCTGCAACGTCCAATACCCTTGCTCCAAAACTAGACCGCTACAACAGCACATACTTTCTCACATTATTGGTAAAATAATGTTAGTAGCTAGTATGTTCATGTTATTAGATCAATACTAATGTACTTATAGTATAATAATGTATGTCAGTGTCATTATGCACATGTTGATATGTCAATGATAGTGCGTCAAATTTAAGTATATTAATGACAGTCTAATATTGTTGGAATGTAAACGTTAGTTTGTCACTGTTAGAATATAGGTTAATGAAAGTTAATATTATAATTCACGTTTAAGTTATTATACTCCGATTTAAACACAGCTACCCTTCAAGGTCGCGAGCTGAACAGAGAGGGGGACACTGTCAGACAATCGGGAGCTTCTGTACCAGCAATGTAAGTCAATACCAAGCTTTCGATTGGATGAAAGTGTCCCATTCCACGTCCAGCTTGATGAGCAACTTGAGATCAAAGGTCTGAACGTCGCCTCTAAAAGGAAATATCTGTTGTTTCGGTGTGCCCCTTCACCGAGGTTTTAGCCGGGCCACGAGGTAAGGTCCCACCGCGGGCCAGCTGCACTGTCTTCCCACGTGAGAACGCGTCCTGACCATCGCGTTGATCTACTTGAACGCGACTTGACGAGTTTCTTTCTCAAGCTGATTAACTTCATGAAAACGTAATTCCTTTTCTGGCCGGAGGAGTACAGTAGGGTAAGAGCGATGAACACACGTTTTGCTCTTGGAGGAGGATTTACTGACAGTTCCTTCTCAGTTTATTTATAAATAAATAAATAAACAAACTTGGACTGTTTCGTTCAGGGAAGATCGTTTCTACGCCGAACAAGAGCGAGCGTTGAGTAACTCTCTATCAAAGGAAATTTCCCCGCAGTTATCATCTCAAAAATTACACATTTTCTTGGAAATATTTTATATTTATTGGTTAATTACATTCAGAAGTCCAAATCGGGGAAGGACTTTCCCGTCGTCCCTCGCCTGAGAATCCGCCACTGCGTCTCACTGGGCAGGTTAAACGCATCTCAAATCTACCGTCATGTGCTCACTCGACGAAGGTTGGCGAGGACGCTAACGTGGGCCTCAAAGGGAGGGGCACCGTTTCCGCCGTCTCGTCGTCGGACAGAGATCCTGCCATTAATTCAATCCGCAGCCCCTCCGACATCTTGGCCGCTAGGCTGCTGAGCGTTACGGGCCTGTGAATAAAAAATAAAGTTTTCAGTAACAAAATATCATTAAATTAGTTTTCAAATATTACTACTACGGCGGCAACATTAATTAAGATTTCCGGACAATAGAGTAGGAGGAAAAGACAGTATCATTGGAATGCACTTAACGAATGTAGCCTACACCTTTAAAGATAAAAAAAATTACTCTCTTTGTTAACGGCGTCAAAAATTATTTGGAATTAGATGTGCAGGTTTTTGAAATCACATTCATTATAATATCTTTTCATAAAATTCTGTACCTGTAGAGGGGGTAAATTTGCCGCAAGTGGCGGAATTGTTAGACCAGTCTTCAAACTAGGTTTTCGAGCCAGAACCATCTCGCGACTAGAGCGCTAAGAAGCTTACATACCTTTTCAATTTCCTAAACTTAAAACACAAAATCATTATGATTAGTAAGGATCCAAGAGATATCAACCACAAAGAATGTAAAAATATGCTTAATATTATAAATAAATAACCAGATACGGGTTTCGGGAACCTTATCCCACCTTCAGTGGCACCAAGTATCATGGATTAAGCACATCGAACTTGAATCAACGCCAAAGATGCTACTGTGCCTTCACAAGTTACATATTTTTGTATATTTTAGAAATAAAACAATGAATAGAATCAATTCTACAATCTAGGGAACAAAAACTATCATGTGGTGTAGTGTTCGTCCACGATACTCATGGTTCAAATGAATGCCGCAACATGTTACATATTTAGGTGACGCTTTTGATAAATCAGCTGTTTATCTCTAATTTCCAATATATTTATTATAATCTTCTATCAACCACCTCCGACAGCATCTCTCCCAATCACTCCTCGGCTCGACCTGCCATCCCCCGCCCTATAGGCTCTGCCCGAGCCCAGTCCGCGTCACACGATACTGACGCCTACTGGTCGCATTGCGATTAGCCTCATTTTTAGGAACATTTCGCCGGGGAACAAAATTTTGGGTTGCCTTTTAGAATAGCCAACATAGACTTGTCGGCTTCTCTGAAGCGTTGATTTCAGAACTGACAGCAATTTCTCAAGTGGTTCAAACGTCCCCGTGGATCAAACATGCATGCATTTTTGTATACAGGTGCGTCACTTCAGGTGAAAATCTAGTGGAGCCACCAGCATGGAACACACTTTCCGTATTCAATTATTTACGTCAAAAACAGTTAAAAACTACGTGTGACGTGCTATGGGGAGAAGTTAATTTGAAGTTACATTTATGTCCAGAAGCAAAAACAATTTGGCCATCTCAGCAATTGCTCAAGGGTCAGGGACACAAGACCAAAACCTCGTTGAGACGGAGATCACTGACCCATAAGCTGAAGTACAATACTTATTACAGGTTCCTTAGAAGTATACAATACAAATGGTAAATAATACACTAAATAACGTTGTAAAAATTAATATTACTTTGCTTTTGGATGCTTGGTATAGTCTCTATTGTATAGAAACAGTTGTAATGCATTAAGATTTTACTTGGGAATTTTTTACTTTTGTATCAAATTTAACCGTTTAATGTCATCTGACAAGCTGTTGTAAAATAATATACATGTTTTGTATGTGAATTTTTTGTAGTGAGCTATTGAACCTGCCGAACATGCTTACTACGTCGAGTGTTGTAGTTATGGACATCAGCGATTGCTGAAAATATATTCCCGCCCTTAAGCAAGTCATTTTTGACAAAAACGACTGATTCGTATATGAAGAGACAAGGTAATTGTAAGATACCTAGATTAATAAAGAGAGGCTAACAAGAATCACGTGGGTGAGATTTGCGTATTATTCGCACAATTCTTTTTTGTAGTCAAAGTCTGGGAGCTATAAGATGTATTTCCCCTAATGTAAATATAAACAACGTGAAAAAGTCAAAAAAATTAAATTTTTGTAATTTTTTTGAAAAAAGAATAGTGCAACATGGCATTTATGTCTTCTCGTAGAGTTTAATTAGCACTATCCCTACCAAATGCTCAAAGAAAAGGAAAAATTGGAGCGGTTTTTGTGAAAATATTATTAATAGCACATATTTCCCGCTATTTTGCCCGAAAAACCATAAATTTTTCAAAAAATGTTCATAACCTTAATCAAATAATTAACTACGGACCGCAAATTTTATTTGAAGGAAATCCGTATTTTTAATTTTGTAGTCGGAAGACACCGCAAAAAATTCAAAATTTTGCAATTTTCGAAAATTTGGAGTGAAAATCTGACAAATGCCATCTTTATACGTGTATTTTACTCTATTCTTACACGAAATTTTAAGAAGAAATTTGGAAACATTTTCGAGAAAATTTTGAAAATGTCCGGAGGTCATGTAAAGTACCCCCAAATTTTGAAGACAATTTTTCAAATCGTGGCGTCGAGAATGAAGCCAGATCGACCAGGGAGTATCTATTTTGTAAAAAATCATGTGTATGGTTTAGGTGCTAATGGTGTTCACAGACTGACGAACAGACAGACTATTGCTTTTTCGGTATCAAAGATCCACAAAACCGGGATTCTGGGTACACCACGTGTTAGAGTATTTCCCCCTTAATTTAGCAACTTGTTTTATCCGCCTTTTCGTTATCAGGGCCATTAATTTTTTTGCCGAAAATCCACCGTTTTTTCGCACAACATTACATAACTTTCCCTATACTACATATATTATGTCGTATGTATACGGGAAAGCAAATAACACCGTCTTCTTCTCGATTAGATGAATAAGACAACAGTAAAACTTGGTGATACTGATGATATTTTAAAGCGCTTCGTTACTGCACAACAGTTTTTTGACGATCCTTTTACAACGTCCAGAAGATTGTGTATTGATATAGTTGAAGGGAAAGGATATTTCTTATGTCCTCGAAAAAGTATTTTTTTCGATACCAAAAACGAAAAATGAAAATTTGTGAAGTAACGATGTTGGGATGTACATTTGACGTCAGCCCTGCTTTGCGCGCGATCCTGCTTGCACGCACTGTCCGGCCCGTCAGAATTACAGTGTACTCGCTCTTCGCTAACACTCCCCCCCCCCCGGATGTACAATAGCATCTCAAGCCTGGGAAATGCGTAAAAATCTCTGATGAAGTACAGGGTACGATTATTTTGGTAAATTACAAAAATAAATTCTATGTGAATCTATTCATCTGACGTCAAAATGGTAAAGGAAATATTTATTGCTAATATTATTAAAAACAAAATTGTTAAAAAAATATTTTTATTAAAATAAAAATATTTGCTAACAATACAGCACTCCGTAATGCTTCGTGTGCTCTTACTCAAGACTCCCGCGGAAGTGAGAAGGTCTGAATCTGTCAGGGACATGGGGCGGCGGCGATGGCGGCGAATCGGAGTCGCTGTCACTGGAGTCGTATCGCGCACTCCACGACACAGAACTATACAATCAGCCACCAAAATGCAAACATTAAAAGCGCTTATAATTGAAGAAGAACGTGTTTCAACATTAAAGTAAGGACTATTTATCTTGAACATGTAACGATATGAATATGTAACCCGTTTGCGGGACAAAAAAAATTTGTCAAGGTCTTCAAATTGTTAAACTAATGCCATGATTATACTTTAAATGTAATGTATTTTATGATAAATTACACAAGAAATTTAAAATATCGTAAAAGTTTTTAAACGTTGGTTCGTACAGGGATAAAAACAAATACTATTGTCTCCTATATTATTTCAGTAGTATACGTACCTTTTGCAACTCTCACAAGCAACCAATCCTTATAAATGGATAATCGTATTCTCTAAAGAAAGAGAATTCCACGTAGACGTGACGAATTACATTTAAAAACATGAAGGGTTTGTTAAAGAAAACGCATCTAAATATTCGTTTCAAATGCAACCTGCAACACTCAACAGCGCCGTCAAATCTGTATAGTTAAATAACAACGCGTTTTAGGGCCTTAAAACTTGAAATTTTGAGGCGCTTCAAAGAAAGGTTTCTTATACCATAATCTACTGGATACAATGTTCTTGGACATTATTACATTTTTGCTGGACCGGCGCTTATCGATATTATCCAATACCAACTACATCACTCGCGCGGGAGGCGAATTTTGCTTGTGACGTCAAGTTTAGAAGGCTTAGATTTCTCCAACTTATATGAATGCTTTCTGTGTACACCGTGGGTTGCTACGACTGATGAGGTTTATTTGCAAAATCATTCATTCAAGAGTATACAAATAAACCCACACACTCTCGCAGCAACAATTAGACGTATTAATAGTTGCTTGGTACCGATGATCGTTTTTATGTGTATCGTGCAACCGTTCATTTATTGAATGTAAGTATTGACGTTTGTGAAAAGTTCGTGATATAACCCTACAGAATCTGCAGAAACAGTAACCTACATAATCTGCAACTGTATGTGAAATGAAACTAATTTCTTGATATTCTAGGCGATTCAATTGCGTGGGTGTAGCTCTCAGTTTGGTAATAAAGTTAAATAATATTCCCAAGAGTAAGGTTATGCTAACCGGATTCTGTATTGTCGCATGGACTACATTAAGTAGCTTCCTCATTTCATTGGATGTCATTCAATTATGGAATCTAGTGCTGATGTAAGCACAAGCCGCTTAATTATTGAGTGGCACATTAGTAATAATAACACTCTTTTCTTTATTTGCAATTGTGCTACAGTTAGAACTTTTGCATGAGACAGAGTTAATAAATGCATGCATGAATGAATGAGTGAGTCAGACTGTCTGTACTGGAAAACATCCTTTGCCTACCTAAGTGATTTTTTTTAAATTATACATTACTTTTTTACGAGCTAATTTGTAGGTCAGATTTTGTTTATAGCAAAAATACATATATTAATTTTTTTTAATTCAAATGTCAGAAGTTTTCAAAATACAGAGGGGTTGGCAGCAATGAGTCTAGCACTGTCCTTTGACACACACTAACGGAAAGTTTAAAGAAGAAAATTGGAACCTTTTTGAAAAAAGTATCTCTCTTTCGCGCAAAATTTCGCGAAAACGACTCAAAAGTTCTTAAAAATTGTACATGACCATATATCAACATCTTTCTTAAAAAAATGATTTCATTGAGGAAATTGATTTTCAATTTTGTATTTGCTAAAAGATGGAGAAAAACGAACATTAGCAGTTTTTGAAAAATCAAGTTGTTGAACAAAAGTTAGACCTCCTTTAAGCGTTTTCTTTGTTACGCGATAAAATCCAATAAAAAAATTGAACCTGTTTTTTGACAAAATTTTCAAAATGTAATTGAGGCTTCATGTAAAATACAGTCGTAAATCTAAACATCCGTTTCCAACTCAAGGGGCTTCGTTTTCCTTTCGATCGACCGGGGAACATCAATTTACGAGAAAATTGACTGAATGGTTTAGGGGATAGCTTTGACCACAAACGGAGGACGGACGCACGGATGGATGAACTAACGGACAAACATTTTGCCTTCAAACAATATTCCAGTATCCAGATTTCTCAAAACATGGATTCTGACTACACGTCGTGTTAGAGGAAGTAATCTGTTACATATGGAAACAAGTTTTATCCAAGTTTTCGTCACCAGGGCACGGCAATAAGAGTTTTTCTGTCACAAAATCCGCCGATTTTCCAGCCGCATCACGTTACTCACTCTATCCTGCGTAAGTAGAACGCGAGAAAGTTAAAATTGAATCACTAAAAAATAGCACGTACCTTTTTTTTAAAAAGGTAATTTCTTTTTTAAGTGAATCATTTTTTTCCAAAACCTTCCAAATGCTGGCTTATTTTTTGCAGACAGAATAAGGAACTCTCGACAGGAAGACGTTGATCTCGTTTTTGTTGAATTCACTGAATTTTCGAAAGATTCAAATTTAGAAATAATGCAACAAAGATTGTTCCTTATAGCACCACTTGTATATTTGTGGAACTTATAGAGGAGAATTTAGATAATTAACTTAACCGTACATATAACTTCAGAACAATATACTGTCAGAATGTTTAATAGTTAAAATTAAGTATATTTTGGATATCCGTACTATAAACACGAGATGGCAGAACCAAAATATACAAGAAAAGTGGATAGCAAGAGCCCAAAATAGTACATTTCGTAAAAGATTAAAGTATATAATAAAATTCCAGAAAACATTAAAAATAAAAGTAATATATTTTAGAAGAAAGGCTACACAATTCTGTAAATACATATTTTGTCAAGTTAATAAATTTATTTGAAATGTAAGAATTGTGATATTATAGAGTAATATATTCTTTTATCATATGGGTAATAAAACTGATATCCAATTGAAGATGTTAAAACATGAAATAAGTTTTGGAGATTTATCAGTATTTTATTTTTTTGTTTCAATTTAATGTTATTTCTATATTGTATTGTATTTGAAATAACCATAAGGTTAATAAATATTAATTAATTCCACCCTCTCACTCCCTGTATTGTTATAATTATTACATTACAATTTTACAAACAATGAATGGTCTGCTATATGAGTCAAACCAATCTAATTCAGAAATTATGCCATATCTGGAGAAATAATACTCACGTGTTAGTTCTACGAGTTCTGGTTCCTGTATTTTCGCCTTCTGTAAAAATATACGTTTATTTAAATACATACGTTTAAACATTAACAAATTTTAATAAAATTGCATTACAACTCTATAAATATAGATTACGTTAATAGAAAAACTTTGAATTACAAGTACTGAGACGCCTCACGTAATCAATGAAAACCCAGAATCATTAACTTGTAATGTTGATGCGCGCAAAATGCATGTCCGCATGCGAAATGCATGTGCGCATGCGGAACACACACTGGCCAACGGAAGAATCAGAGGGGAAAGATAAGAAACTGGAAATCACCATTGTGTGGCGTCGTTAACACGAGGGCCAGAACCGTTAGGTCGGTGAAAGTACGCTGCGGGGGAGGA